TAGAGTGTTCAACAAGCGTACTAAGACCGTAGAGGAGTCTATTCATGTTGTCTTTGATGAATTTGATGCTCGCTTGGCGAGAAAAGGTATTGTTGATAATGTTGCAGGTTCTTATGATGATGATGAAGAAATCGTTAAGGAAAAGGAACCGGAAGAAGAGAAAACGCAGGAACAAACGGAGCTTCCTAAGGAATGGAGATCATTAAAGAACCACCCGATTGACAATGTCATTGGTGATATAACGCAGGGAGTTTCTACTCGTAATTCTCTTAGGAACACAATTAATCACATGGCCTTTGTTTCACAAATTGAACCAACAACCGTTTTGGATGCTATTAATGATGAACATTGGTCTATGGCAATGCAAAAGGAGCTTAACCAATTTAAACACAATGATGTTTGGGAATTGGTGCCTAGACCTAATGATCATTCTGTTATTGGCACAAAATGGGTGTTTCGTAACAAACTCGATGAAAATGGAATAATCACTAGAAACAAAGCTAGGCTTGTTGCTAAAGGCTACAATCAAGAAGAAGGCATTGATTATGAAGAAACTTATGCACCGGTTGCACGCTTAGAAGCTATTCGTTTATTGCTTGCATTTGCATCTACATTGGATTTTAAACTTTATCAAATGGATGGTAAAAGTGCCTTCCTTAATGGTATCATTCAAGAGGAAGTGTATGTCGAACAACCCCCGGGTTTCGAAGACTATGAGTTTCCCGAACATGTCTTCAAACTCAAAAAGGCGCTTTACGGTCTCAAACAAGCACCTCGTGCTTGGTATGAACGATTAAGCAAATTTCTTTTGGACCATGAGTTCAAACGGGGTCAAGTCGACACTACTCTTTTTATCAAGAAAGATAACCAAGACATCCTTTTGGTTCAAGATTACGTAGATGATATCATATTCGGTGCTACTAACGAGGTTTTGTGCAGAGATTTTTCCGATATGATGCAAAGTGAATTTGAAATGTCGATGATGGGAGAATTAAAGTTCTTCCTTGGGCTGCAAATTAGACAATGCAAAGAAGGAACATTCGTGTGTCAAACGAAATATTGTAGGGAATTGCTTAAAAGATTCGATGTTACCGAATCAAAATCCATTGACACACCAATGAGCACCTCTTGCTATCTCGACAAGGACGAAAAAGGTAAAGAGGTAGACATAAGGCGCTACCGAGGTATGATCGGCTCTTTACTTTATCTTACCGCGAGTAGACCAGATATCATGTACTCCGTTTGTATATGCGCTAGGTATCAATCATGTCCTAAAGAGTCGCACTTGGTTGCGATCAAAAGGATAATGCGATATCTCGCGGGCACGTTGAACGTAGGTCTATGGTATCCCAAAGGTTCAACATGTCATCTTGTTGGCTATTCCGACTCGGATTTTGCAGGTTGCAAACTCGATAGGAAAAGTACCAGCGGTACTTGCCACTTATTCGGTCATTCGTTAATCTCGTGGTTTAGTAAGAAGCAGGTTAGTGTTGCACTTTCCACCACCGAAGCGGAATATGTCGCTGCGGGAAGTTGTTGTTGTTGACCCTTGTGTTTTGATAATGACAACCTTATATGTGGGATAAGCTTTGGATCTTTGAATCAAGTCACCTGGATCATTTCGTAGGGATTATCTCGCAAGTCGGCTTACGAGCTCCAAGACAAGAATTGGCTTACGAGCTCCAAGACTAGAATTGGTGTTAAAAAAAGGTTTTTAGATCTTTTACATTTTTTTAAGTCTTAGTTCTTGTTAAAGTGTGTGGCACATGTTTATTCTTCAAAATTCTCTATTTCTCTTAAAAGAATTCTTTCTTTATTGTTATTTAAAATGTTTTTTTTAAAACTATGTTTTCCTAGGCTTTTGTTCGAATAAATGATGATTTATTCGAATAAGAGGGACCTCTGCAGATTGCAGCTCGGTCTGTTTTAATCGAACAAATGCTTATTTTATTCGAATAAGTGTTGATTCCATTTTTTCCAGACTTTTGAAAACTATTCGAATAAATGGTTATTTATTCGAATAAGTAGCT